TGGCAAAGTTTCGCAGCCAATGACATCGAGCATCTAATCTGTAGTTATGTTAACATGAATAAAGTAAAGGGTATGTTGTGCGTAAGCGAATTGAACAGTCGGCGTATTTTTAATTAATTTCTGTTCGATTGCTTATTCAGGCCTGCCGCCCATGGACGCGCTCTACGGCTTACTGTCTTGCTTCAAACTCTAATGTAATATACTCTCTCCATTCCAATTTGGCTTCAGAAAAAACCACTCTACGGCACTAGCAATTTCAGAACTCTATGACACGCTTCTAAACTCTTTGGATGAAAGAAAAATTTCTTGTGGAATTTTCCTCGACTTATCTAAAGCATTTGATACTGTACAACATAACATCCTCCTAACCAAACTTGAACAGCCATATGGCGAGCGTAAGAAAATACACGGGGCGGCCCGAAGCCGATTTCGCTCCCGTCAGCTTTCAAGCGCTCCCGGTAACAAACCAATTCGAGAGCGAAAATTTTGCAAGCCTAGGCGAGAAAGAGAATCCTCCCGTGCCGCGGCAGGTTACTGACCCGTTCCTCAACCTAGCACAGCCTAGGGTATCCAAACATCTAGAGCCTGCATGAACTCCCTCAACGCATGATTCCCACACGAACAAAACTCGCGACGGATGGGTAAGCCAAATTCAATGTGTTTATAAACTCGTAACAATAAGTTACTTACCGCAGGGGTTATTGTGAGAAGTAGGCGACGACCAGTGCCACACTGACCGCACGCTAATCAAAGCTGTTGTGGGGGCGGGATTCATCACGTAGAAAGTGGACTGTTATTATTCAGGTAAGATATTTAGGAAGAAATGTAAAACTGTATATAGCTTGCAAGCATTCTAGGCACTGTGTAACTTGTGATCTGTGCGGCAGCATGAACTGCATAGATCTATGCATGGGTAACCGTGGACTGGGGAAATAGAAAAAACGAAGTAAAGAACCGTACAGATAGCTCTCCCCCCCCAACATTCCAGAGATTGATAACAATTATTTGACCAACTCTAATTAAGTTACATCAAGAGTTAATGAAGACACGTATTTGTCTTCATTAACTCCTTGTTATGCGTTATGCTGTTTTAAATTTCAATGGTTATCTTTATATACTATTTTGTAAACTTCGCTCCCTAGTAAATAAGCTGACCACCAAATTTTTGTGCCAGCGTCCACCCACTTTCTGAAGTTGGTGGTCCTGCTGGTTCCACTACGATTTTTGCAGCCGAAATTCGAACCCTGCGGTGCCGGGCCTCGAACAAACCCGCTTGCCCGAAGGCCCCGGGGCAACCAAAATTCCGCCCGGCAGGTAGCCTTTAAATTGCCACTTCCCTAGTCGGGAACAAAGCTCTTTTTTTTATTGAATGCCTTAGACATAACGAGATGAATTAAAGAAACAATGCGAATGCAGACAATCAGTGCATGCCAGTCATACTTTGTACATAACATGCATACGAGCCAACATGAAAAACCCGTTCCGTGATCTTGTCACCATTAGCGAATAAATGTGTGACTCCTCATCGCATCTTCGCCCACAAGCATAAAAAATCTTGACTTTGTTGTGAAACACCTTTACGATAAGTAGACACAATTGTCTGGCTCTGAGACAATTATTAGAGTCAGTGCCCATCAAAAATTAGCAAAATTTTAACAAAATCATGCTATGAAAAAGCTAGCTCTGGCCAAGCTTAAAAATAGCTCCCCTAAACAAAATAACGAGAGCTCTTTTTTTCATACAAAAGCAAAAAGAGCTCTCCGCTAATAAAAAAGTATTTTTTAGGCTGCCCCACTATGGTATAAGGGGATTAGCTTTAGACCTTATTAATAGTTACCTCTCAATCGCAAACAGTATGTTTGTATAAAGATTCTTGCTCAGATCAACTTGATATGAAATGTGGTGTCCCCCAGGGCTCGACGTTAGGTCCTCTTCTCTTTCTAATTTATGTTAACGACTTACCCTTAGCCTCGAACTTCAATACTCGCCTATTTGCGGATGATACAAACCTATTTTTGACTAGCTCTAACATAACTGACCTTGAAACCAAAGTTAATACAGAATTTGCACATGTCATGAAGTGGTTGCAAGCAAACAAACTATCTCTGAACTACGAAAAAACTAAATATATGATCATCGGACAAAACAAATCGAATCGATCGACTACATTTTCCCTGCTATACTGGCAGGGCCGCTACAAACTCATGAGTTCAACAATATAAACTACCTAGGGGTCTACTTCGACCATCATCTAAAATGGACTATCGATCTCAATTATACAGTGACGAAACTAGCAAAAAATCAGCTGGAATCATTCCAAACTCCCACTATGTTAAAGCCACAATGTACTTAAAATCACTTACTTTTCTCTAGTTTATCCATACCTACTTTATGCTGTACTTGCCTGGGGGTCATCAACTAAAACAGTATTACACACAGTAAACAGGATCCACAACAAAATTATCAAACACATGACCTTCGCAAGCCTAGAGAACATGTACACCAACTTCTTGCAACCTTTGCGTATGCTAAAAACTTCCAGATATCTACAACTAGAACTAGCCCAAAGCTAATGTACCGTTCACATATCAACGAATACGTGATCTGCTTCAACAACTACGGTCACCATATATCTCCAACGTACAACTCTCACTCTACTCGACTTGCAGCTGCTATGTCCTATTACCTACCTAGGCTTTAATACTAGTGTTGGATATAAGACACTAAAATTTGGAGTGCGAAGCTCTGACTGAGATTCCAACCTCATATAAAAAACTTGCCCTATGCAAAATTTAAGCAATCCTAGCAGAAAACATCCCAATCTCAAAAGTACCGAGTACGCGTCGCACTCGCTTCTATTCCGTGTATATTGCATGTCAATTTAGCTTATTACCCAGTAATACGCTAATACCTCTATAAATTGCGACAGATGTGTTTTCAGTTGGTTTGTTCACGATTCCATTCAGTTGTATGATTACTGTCCATGTAACCCTGTGATACGAACCATGTCCTATGCTCATACAGTGTATATATGTGGCATTGCCAGCTTTGTTTGTTTGCTACAGTGGTTTGTTCACCTTTGTTCAAATTTTTTGTTATTTTGTTTGATCCTTTTTCATTCTCTTTGTCATGGTTTGCTTTTCTCTTACTGTTATATATGGGCATTTATGCTGCTCTGTTGCCACACAGCTCTACACAGTTGCTATTATTAGCTGTCATTGCCAAATATGATCTATTTATAGTGAGAACAATAGTAATAATTATTTTTAAGTAAACATTAAGTAGTAATCTATTTTGTGTATCTTATTCTATCTATCTATCTATCTATCTAAATATATATATTAATATATATATATATAAATATACATTATGTTGTATCTATCTATCTATCGATCTACTCTATCTATATATCTATAATATTGTTCTATCTATTGTATAGCTAACAAGAGCTGAAAGTGTGTACGAGAGGTTGTTTTCAGTACTGTTTTGTTCACGATTCTAGTCAGTTGTATGAGATTACTGCCAGGTACTGTGTCATGAACCATGTCCTGTGTTCAACTGTTATATATATGTCCATTGAAGTTTTGTTTTGTTTTTGTTTCTTGTTCATTTTGTTTTGATCACTTTGTTCACTCTCTCTGTCATGTTTTGCTGTTTCTTATACTGTATATATGTGCATTTTGCGTTGTTCTATGTCTTGTTATGCGTGCATTCAGCTCTGTTGCTACGCAGCTCTAACATGTTGTATATCAGCTGTCAATGAAACTATTGTATCTATTTATATTAACAATAGTAATAATCTATTGCGCCTATTTATATAGGTAAACGTATGTGTATGTATGTATATATATATATGTAATATAATATAATATAATATATATAGACTGTATATATATAATTAACTATTTGCCCATACATTACATTATTAATGTACAGATGTAAATTAGACCTATGCCTGTTTTGTTCTGCTTATTCCGTTGTTCATTTTTGTTTAGTTTCTTGTTCCCTGTAAACGCTCAAGTTTTATCGTTCAAGGTTTGCATCATCTTCGCTGTCATGTTTTTCGAGTTTCACATGCATGCTCTCCATCCACTATGGCAACCAACTATATCGCTATAATCACAACCGACCCATCTGCCTAATCATTAGTATGAATTTTAGTTGAGTGTGGCAGACGTGAATACCCTGCGGGTTGCTTGTCGCCCTCCTGTGCTTCCTTGTTAAACTAGATTAACTTCGACTTGCTATATTCCTATTGCCGCCTGTACCACTGTACATACCGGACGACTTATGCACAAACATAAACATATTGAATCTTGAGATCCTTGAATCTTGAAATCTGGAATCTCAACACCTATAGACGTTAAGTAGAGCTTAATCTAGAGTAATAGTTATTTATAAATGACTATTAGTTTGTTATTTATAAATTACGCGCTGGCCTATATGCCGCAGCCGCGGCACGGTCTTCGTTTTCCTAAATGGTTCCGGCAGTTCTTAACCCTAACATCTAAACCCTAACCCAAACCTAAACAAAAACCCTCAATCTAGCCTCCTAAACCTAACCCTAACCCTAATTCCTAACTCTAACCCCTAACCCTGGTTACTTGAGTAACGCTAAAAATTAAAAAAACTGCCGTGGCCATTAGACAATCGAAAGCACCGTGCCGGCAGCGTCAGCATATACGCCCGGCTGCCGGGCATATGAGCCACTGTGTATAAATTATAGGCCTATTTAATCACTGTGACCACAGAACCAACCTGCAGGTCTTCTTGTTTCACATCATGAAATAGGTTTCCAACAAATAATCGTTTGCGTTCAACACCTGTCTCAGATCCCATAGTGACAGGCATCACATCAGATCTTGTATAAAATCTTGGGGTTTACTAGCGATTCATGAAAGTGTCGGAATATTTACATATTTTTAGAATCAACACGGCCAAGGAAAGCATGACCGTAAGATGGCGCTGATGTAAGAGACTCTAGCGCCCTCTGTGGTCATGCTGTCTCAGGCGACCGAACATTTATCATGGATTTTGTTGCTAGGGAAACTCAGTTGTTCACGGGAGAAACAAAAAAATCCCTCTAGTCATTTACTGTTTACAGGTGACAGATCGTAGAAGGTTGTAGACAGGAAGCCGTGCAGCCTCAGGAAACAACAGCATGACGTGTAGAGAACCGTATCCGCTTCCTAGGCTGCAGAATGATGACGACTTCGTCGGGCCACGCAGTGGATTTGTAAATATGGAAATTGCATAATATTAATAAATTAAAAAAACAATGTATAAAAAACTGTGTGACGTGTATATCACATTAACAGTACCCAGTTAACTTATCTTATTTGCTGCGCACACTATCTGATTTGCCACTGTGCACAGCACAAAACGCCCCGCACCCACGATCCGACCCCGATCCGCATCCGACGGGAGGCCACGCCACACTGGCCGACTCAAAGTTGACGCAACCATGCACTCTCGTGGCGTTCCAAGCGGCATTTAGCGTGTACTAAGCATCGGCGCAGTGTTTCCATGTTCGAATAGCCATTTCCATGTCGATGCGGTTCCCATGGGCGCAGCTCTGTGATTTGTCAATTTCTTCAGCGCTCGGTCGATCGGTCGGATGGCCACGCACACTATCC